GTCCTCCGATGCCTGACATTATGCAGGTCTCTGTGGAGAGCTTGGGGAGCTAAAAACCATTTGCTAAGGTTTCTTCAATTATGGTTTTGTGAGCTCCAGTATCGAGGAAGAAGAGTACTTTCTCAAATCTTCTGCTTATTACAGAGTTTGCCTTCTGCTGTCATAAGAATCAGTTGCTCATTTTTACTGGTGTCGATTGTAGAGCGGTCGTAATCCTGCTCAAACGGAGTATTGGTCTGTTGCGTTCTCCTAGCATCATTGCTGCAACAGTTGCAAGGCCTGGTATCATACTGCTGGGGTCTGCTGCCATAGTTCTGTTGATTAGACTGATTTTTTGCTGGCCTCGGGTTTGCCGGTGGGGCTCTGACATTGATGCCGACTGGTCTGCTTGCCATACATATGCTTTGATGATGTTTCTGGCCACAGATGGGACAACTAGGCTTGCTGCATTGAATGCTTGAGTGGTTACTGTTGAAACATTTCCAACAATGAAGTTTTTCCTTGGCGATATCGCGCCTTTTTTGGATATCGGTGACTGTTCTGCAGAGTTCAGAATGGTGATTGTTGCGTCCGCAGAAGACGCAAGTTTGTATGAATCTTTGGTTTTGTGTTCTATGTTCATTCGTAGGCCTGGTTTCCTTGGTATACTCTCTGTTGGAGCCCCAATGTGTCTCGACGAAGAGTTTGGAGGATATTTCTCTTTCTAGCAGCGTTATGAGATTCCCTATTGTATTATTTTTGTCGTCCTGATATTTTGCTAGGACGTTCTTTATTACTGTGTAAGGGAACTTTTTAATTGTTTCAGTCCACATAGGATCACTAGTGGCTCTGATGTCGTGTTGTCGAGACCATTTGGTTCACAAGTGCTTTGATCGAGCCCAAGCAGTCATCATAGCTTATTGCTTTTTGTGCAGCAGCTTTCAAATCGAAGAGTTTCTGCAATATTTTTGACCTGTTGACCGTTAGGTTGCCGAATTTATCTTTGAGTGTCCATACGATTTACTCATAACTCTTTGCTATCGGCTGTATTCCTTTGATGGCTCTTTCGGCCTTCCCTCTCAAGCTGTCCTTGAGTAGAACAATCTTCTCAATGGTGCTCACATCATTGCTTGAGTGACTGAGGGAATCGTAAACTGCTCAGTATTTTGGGAATCCTTCTTCGCTACCGTAAAATTTCGGTAGGCTGATATTGGGCGGTTTGATCGACCGCATCCCTGAGGTGCTCTCAGAATTCAGCTTCTCCGAGTTTCCTTGAGACCAATTTGTTTGGTGACTACTGTGGGATGATGACCTTTCACTGTCGTTATTAGCTGGAAGTACTTTAAGCTCCATTTGAGCTTTTGCTAATTCTACTTTATCCTCAGTTAACTGAGCTCCCCGTATATGAGAGCTTCGGCACTCGCCAAATGTTGCGGATATTGAGATTCTTTTTCAATTTTCTGAATTTCTATAATGAGCTCTTTTCGCTCGCTCTTTTTTGCTTTTGCATAGTGGTTCCCTAATTTGTCGACCCTTTCTTGGATAGTTCGACAGCTGTTCTTATACGACTAAGTGCCGACGATAGAAGGGTAACATTTGCAAGAGCTTTTTCGCGGAGTTCTTTCTCATTCTCCGAATACTCTAAATTTGCCCCATAGCACACTGATATTTTTATAAAAGTGTAGCTAGGGCTGGGCCCTAGCAATAATTGGTCTGTTGTGAGAGTGGAGGGCCATATTGATACCTCTACTTCTTTCCTTTACCTACTTCGCTGCTGTTGAGCGGTTGTTTTATTAGTGATAATGTACTTGCTGTGATTCAGCAAGTGAAGGTACGCTGCTTTCGAGCGATTGTCCTTCAACAAGGAAGGGATAAGCTAAGTCCGGTGGAGTTAGCAAGTAATTCGCTGCTTTTGAGCGATCAAATGTGATATGTCTGTTAAAATCGACGAGGAATTCAACAAACAACAACGCAATACGCTGTTCTTCGCAAAGCTGTTTGCGGTTTTTTTGGGCTGGCTTAGTCCCAAGGACAGGCGACTTGCTTACCCTATAACGGCTTTAGCCGATACACCAAAAAATGTGGTGTCTACGCGGAAGGGTGGCGCTTTTTGTATATTTTCAGAGAGATTGTTGGTCTCTCTAATAAATGAATAATAAAGTGGTTCAGTGATAAATTTATTCGAAAAAAACGCAAAACACCCTGGTTGCCGGCGGATACAAGAGAGGGTCCCTTCTAAGCCCCGCCCCTAAGGAGCGTGAGTGACCGCGGGTTCTGGCCTATACCAGAGCATCCTGCATGTAATACATTGCATCAAGTAACAATTTCTCCGTTATGTATTCAATTTCTCACTAGCATCGATAGTTTCTAGCTTGTAACCCGTTGTACTTGGTTTTTTTTAAGTCTCTTAAAGTCATCTTAGTTGTTCAGAAATGATGACGTAGGGATGAAGGAATGATTTGACTTGAGTCAATTCACTTCATTCTTAAGTCTGTCTGTATTGAGAGTTATAAATGCTCTGCGTGCATTAATCCCTTGAATCCGGCGAAAATTTTCCTTCTACGCCAAGTCTTAGCTAATTTTCTCATTTTGGTTATTAAACCTTCAATACAGGTGAAACCTTCAACAAATATTTTTCAACAAACAAAAACAACAACCTTCAACACGCTATCGTCAAATGCAAATGATGACATCATGACTCAAACGCTGACCGCAGGAAATGCTTCCGCACATGAGTTCTTGGTACGCATTCTTTTCGGCTTTCAGCTTTTTGCCGGCTTTACTTTTTTCAACACTATGCTCACCTTGGAATCCTTATTTTTGGCTAATTTTTTTTCAGCACTGTGTTCATATGTTACGTTCCGATACGACATCTAGAATCATCGTATCTCTTTTTATGCGACATTTTGACTATGCTATTAGTATTACTGTAGCTGTAGTTTTATTTTATTTTATTTAGTAACATGCACAGTCAGTACATGAACACAGCTTACTACAAAAATCAATCATATAAATAATCAAGATCCAAGAGAACCAGGTAGTAAAAGACAGCTGATCAAAGCAAAAGCCAATGAAAGAGAAATAATACCTTATGAAACTTGCACTAAGGCAAAACCAAAAATGAGCCTAACCAGTGTAGCTCTCAGCCAAGTATTTTTTCAGTGTTCTTTTGAACTGCGACAAAGTTTTGGGCAGGGAGTATTTCTTAACAAGTTCATGAAATTCAGAAGATGCCCGATTAATAAAGAAATTTGCTCTAACGTTGGACCTAAGCCGAGGAAAGTATGGTTTCAAATTATTCTCACGGGTATTTGATGGTTGAAGAGTGAGAGCTCCCCTTAAATCAACAACTGATCTCCCAGTGAGTATTCTAAATAGCATAACAACATCGTGCTTCTTCCTTTTACCAAGAAGCGACTCGATTCCAAGCATCCTATTTCTTGTAGCTGCTCTAGGGATGAATTTATAACAGAAACCCAGATTATAAAGATTTATAAACTAGTTATTGTAGTTACAGCAGGCTTCGTACAGGTACTGAAGATTTTCAATCTGTTTTACATGAAACAATATCAATACCATCTGCTTACTCAGGGGGAGGAAGAGGGGGGTTGGGCTGATATTTCGTCGATGATCCCTGAATCATAAAGTGAAAAAGCCTTGCACCCTTTTTCTCGAGAACGTCACTGGTCTGCTTTTGTAATTCATGTATATGTGTATTGAAAAGCTTAAGATCGTGATGGATTGCGTCGACTTGTTCAATGTAGTGTTTTGTTAAACTGAATGTTTCGTACTTTTAACTGGATAGGCTTTTGAAGCTTTCTAAACTGAATCACTTTTCATCTTATATTTCTTTACAGGAGTGTTGATCTGAAGAAACTCTAGAGCAGCTGACTGGTGCCACCTGCATGCCACATGTAAGTCTTTTGTTGTATTGAATTCTTCTTGGGTCCTTTCCTTTGCCAAAGATTTCCATTTAATTGCAACCGCTTTTCAGAGTTCGTGATGGAAAACACGTGACCGCAAACATAAGCGACGACGAGCTGGACCGAAGTTTCAACGCGTTTTTGCTCGACAGCAACGAAGAGTTGGAAGATTCTGCAGTGAACTACCACGGTGTACTCCTTGCCAATGATGATGTGGATAAATAGGATGAAAAAGCACCAAAAGGACGAGTTTTGGACAGGGATAGCTGGTCTAGTGATGGGAAGAAGCTTTCCCCATTCCTATTTGAACAGGAGCCGGCTATTGTAGGGACTGATAAAGCTCCCTGATGCAAACCTTTCGATTTCTTCCGTATTGTCCTGAACGACGAGTTGCTCCGCTTTTGTTGTGCAGGAAACCAATCGGTATGGCTGCTTTCATAGTCCGCCAGCGTGCCAGCCGAGGCAGTGCGAAGGGGAAGGAGGGAGGCAGACCGTCGGTCGACGCGTTCGCTTCGCGCCCAAGCCCCTTCGGAGGGCTGTATACAAAGAGAGACAAGATCAAAAACCATTTGTTCAAGCCCCTGTTTGTTTGGTTTCTGATCTTGTTCTTCTTTGTTTTCAGCCCTTCGACCGACCGTCTGCCTTCTTCCCCTCCCCTACCACTATCTCGGCCGTCACGCCGGCGGACTATGAAAGCAGCCAATGGACTCATCGAATCGGCTCATCAAGTTCAAGGAAACTGATGCACAAGAAGTGATGCAATTTCTAGGAATACGCTTTTATATGGGACTCGTGGAGATGCCTTGCGCCACTACTGGTCAACTAAGAAATTGTGCACCGGAAACATTTATTCGTCAATCATGACAGAAGACAGATTCGAGGCTAAACTGTCCAACCCGCACTTCTGTAACAACGAAAAAAGGATGTTACTGACCGACTTTTCAAGATTAGAGCAGTGCTGGACAATTTCAACGAGGTATCGGCATCCGTTGTTATTCATGAGAAGGATGTGGCTATTGATGAGTCGATCGTACCTCTTCGAGGTCGCTTGAAGTTCAAGCAGTTCATTCCCAACAAGAAACACAAATTTGGAACCAAATGTTCAAACTGTGCGTCAAAGGAGGATACCGAACCGAGATTTATTCTGGAAAAGTTAATGACAATAAAGGAAGTGTTGCGGGAAACATAGTCATGCGTTTGATGGATGGTTTGTTGGATTCTGGTCGAACAGTTTTCTGTGACAATTGGTACTTCTCAGTTGGTCTAATTCGAAGGCTTTTGGAAAGAAAAACGGACTTCGTGGGAACTTTTCGCGAACAAAGGGAAGGTTTTCCTTCTGCACTCACAAAGAAGAAAATGCCCAAGGATACGGCTGAAGCTATGCAGTCTTAAGATGGGATCACCGTAAATCATTGGCCATACAGTGGTATGACAAACGAAGCGTGTTCTGCACATCAAAGTGACATGGAGACGAAAAGGACGAAAAAGATGTTTTGAAAATGATAAAGGACTACAACATGTGCATGTTATTCGTGGACCCATCGGGTCAGATGCCCTCGTACCACCTATTTATTAGGAGGAGTTCGAAGTGGTACATGCGCATCTTTTTCCACCTTGTTTTGCAAACTTCTATGATGAATGCATAAGTATTGTAGTGTAGGAAGATTCAAAACAACCTTTTTGCAGTTCAAGGAGGACGTGGAGCAGTTACTGGCAAAGAAGAAGATTCAACCCGCTGTCAAAAGAGGACACTTGAAATGGTCGATAAACCGGTTGGAAAGCGTGGGCGAAAAAACTGTCATGACTGTTACCAACGCGTAGGTTCAAACTCAGGAAGAGAAAAAGCTAGGAAAAGTGTTACTAGACGATAGCCGTTCATGGCGAATAGTATTACTAGAGTTTATACTAACAGGGAAGGATACTAGGTCGCAGTGGCCATTCAAGATGAGATGTATACCCCCGTAGGTGGTTTCGGGCGCTGATCTCAAATCTGTGTTCCAAATCTGCTAAACGATTCTGGGAACAAAGTTAGGGGACCGATGCCTCCCTGTGTTATACCACACTAACGAACGGATCACCGAGCCGAGCAGAGAC